ATAGTTGCAAAATATGTAAAACGAATTTATTAGGGCTTATTTTCAATTCTCTATATTATTTCTATGATTAATTGTGTTTACCACGCATCAAAATAGATTTTTACACTTCAATACCCTTTGATTCCTTTATGATTAACTCTTCTCAATTTAGATAAAAAATTTTAGCCTTGGATTAGTTCATTTATCATTTTTTTTTCAACATACGCGCGATGGCTTACATTATGTATACATATAGTATGTCAACTGTATCCTGTCTCTATAGCTCTTCCTTGTTTTACCGTCTATTTTAAACAGATAGAACGTCTTCCAATCACCAAAATTTATTTATTCTTTAGGCCTATTCAGATACAAGTTGTAGCAGACGTTTATAAACAACATACACAAGAGCAGTCACAAAAACATGCTATAATGCGAAAAGTATTAAGTAATGCTGAACGCTAAAAACGATTTCGTGCTAAAAAAGGAGTATTAAGTAATAGATCAACTCAAAGTAGCTTTCATCAACCCCGAACTAGTGCCGAACGTCAAAGATTATACAAAGCAAATAAGAAATTACGACAAAAAAATAGAGAAACTCAAGAAGAAGAGTTTACACAAACCCAAGAAAAGCAATATGTACAACATCTCGTTAAAGAATGTTAAATGTTGCAAATAAAAATATATTTTACATTCAAAAGGAAATTAAATTAAATTTTGCCTATTTCTGATCCATTTATACATTATTAGCCTAAACAAGAATATTGAAATTATTATTGCCATCATGCGTTAAACAAGTTCAATATTTTATGGCTTCTATTAATTTATGAAGTTATCACTTCTGTCGAGCGTCCCGTGACGCACAACATTTTTTTAGTCTATTGTTTTGAAGACATAAATGCAGCCTGTCAAACAGTTTGACATTATTCGGCGTTTTTCATTCGCATTTTTCACATTCCAAAATCAAAATGAAAATTTCGCTCCCATATGAGCCCGTGTGAAGCGAAACATTGAATGTGTTTATAGCTAATTAACGAAAAGCGCTAGTGCCACGTGCTTTAGTACATTGTCGATCTACTATCGATAGATTAGTTTGACACTATAAAAGTTTGAATTTTCATATGGAACTTCACTCTTGGTGGGACGTAATGACGTCATCGGATTTTTTTAAGTGTAATGGATTGCTTTGGATCAGTAAAGGCCTCCTATGTCAAAATTTGACCGAAATTTCACATCTCAAAATTGGGGAAAATTTCGAAAATTTTTCCCAAGATTTTGCATGATTTTAGAAAATCGTCAATTACTCGCTTATTATCGATCGTAGCGAAAAAGTGAATACATCTTTTTAATCGAGCTTGAGACGGTCAATCGACTACCGATTAGACTCAGTTCAGCTCTTTTGGTTATCGATATATTGATTTTGATACCGATTTTGTCGAAAACTGGAAATCTACTAGCGCTCGATGAGATAGATTTTATAAAGAATAGCATTTTCCGAGAGGAAGCTTCGTTTCGAAGAAAAAAAAATATTTCGAAAATATCGCGGGGTTACGCCCACCAAAATTTTTGGCCAAAAATGTTTTTATTCTTTTTCGAACTATTCCTTGGCATGTGGCTAGATATGGAAAAGTTACATGACAAATCGACTTGGTTGATGCAAAAAAAATTCCTCTGTGAGCTACGGGGGAAGACGAAAAAGTTTGTACAGGCCCTTATGGAGGAGAAATTTTCAATATTGAATAAAATTGTCAAGTGACATTAGAATTGGTTCATTGAGACAAATATGAATCAACTGCATGTCAAATCGACTTGGTAAAGTGAAAGAAAAATACTCCATTTAACACCATGTAATCGATAAGTTCTATATTGTTGAGGCGGATTCATTTTTTTACAAACTTTTGTCTTTAAAAAAGAAGAAAGAAAAAAACAGAAAATAGCTATCGAAACGTCAAGGTAATTTTTCAAATTAATTTATTTTCTAATTGGAATTTTGTGCTTCCCAAAAATCAGAAAATTATGATGAATCCTAGTTAGACCGACACATAGCTAATAGATGTGGTTAATGATTTTTGAATGGCATAATGAGAAACTATTTCCGTTTAACTATTCAAGTCCGATTTTAGCCAGACCAATGAATCGAAAAAATGTTCGACAATTTTCGACTTGTCCATGTTTTTATGTACTGGTCTGCAGGTCGATAGAGGGATGACAAAGCTTTAAAATTCAATGAAATCCATTGAACACGATGGACGTTAGTTAAAGTTTGAAATGAAGAATTGTGGTTAAGTTTGTCATTGAATATTTTCAAACGTTTCATATTCAAAAAACAAATTAGCTCGAATATGCAATAAAACAATAACGAACCTGATGCACATTATGTAGAAGGTTTTCTTCCAGCAGACTTTTCGCTGTTGGCATTTCCCAGAAAACTGTGCTTAATCATTCTCTTATACATTGCGATTTGAGGGTCGGCCCGGGCTCGGCCTCAAGCTACAAAGAAAAAAGAGCACTAAGAAGACCGGTCCCACATTCTACGAAGCACAGTTTTCTCGAAAAATGGGACGCCTCTTTTAAATCACTTCTTCGAAACGTGGTCGACGGCTGACCAATCTGATACGAATCTATACTCTATTGTTTGCGTTGACTGTCTTGCCTGATATTTGTTGATATTGTATTAATTTCAATATTAGGATGAGTGTTGCAACGGTCTTTTTATAATTCGCCTAAGAAAAAGGAGGGGTTCCTTTAGCCCATAGACAAAACGTGAATTTTGGTCGCCAAGAGTTAATATTCAGAAAAAAAAACCAATTCATGTTTTGAACTTGGAGGAAAAAATAAAAACTCTATAAGTTAAACCCTGAAAAGTATGCTGGGTGAACTACAACTGCCGATGATAATACAGCTATGGGAGAAGCCCTGAACAATATTCAATTAATAAACCAATGGTATTTGGTAAATGCTTCAGTTTCATAAGTTAAAGCACATCAAAGCATTCCTGATTCCACAGGTCTCGTTTCACATGATGTAAGTTTATTGGGCTCACAATGTTAGGATAAGGATTAATCAAATGTTCTACAGACGAGCACTTCCAGGAACCGGTGTACGATCATATGGCATTGTTTTAGCGCACTTTCGTGGAATAGCACAGTTGTTATCAACAATGATTTTATTACATAAAGGCTTATAGAAATTACGACAGCGAATTCGGTAAAATTGCTTTCAAAAAGCAAGCCGATCGCTATGAGGGCTGTACTTCAGGTCAAGGTCAATGATAAAATGCAAGAGTGTCTCAACCTATTCAATAGATGAATTGTTCCTCTACAAGTGTGGAAATTTGCGTATTTTTTCCCTTTTTTCGCAGCTTTTTTCGCGTCATTTTTCCACTATAGTGTCACAATATTTTCAAAATTCAAAGTGGACTGAAAACTGGATTGAACTATTGAATAGAAAAAACTTTGTACTATTTGTGTAGCAACTTTCATAGTTTCCACTTTTTTATGGAATTGTTCGCAATTGTTCTAACGCGCGATTCTGCGAGTTTAATTAATCGTCGCGAGTTATTAAAAAAATTGCGATTGAAAACTGTGAAACTGTTGAAAAATCTGTTGAAAACAGATAGACACTCGGTATTTATTGCTATGCAAGCACACTTTCACATTTCCACAGAAATTTGCCGATGTTTTGCATTTTTGCTCATTTCTTCGGAACGTCTCTGTTGGTTAGTCAGCAGCGGCTTGATCCGACATAGCAATCAGCTTATATCTGCGATCCACTACCAATTATAATCATTATTGTAATCGTGGCCGTCATCAAACTTGTATATCACAAATTAATAGGTGGATCTTATCGGATCTCATTCTTGGAACGGCTCTGCGATGGAACCCTGCAACCAAATTCGCAAAATCGTCTCATTATGTCTTTTCCCCGAAGTGACACAGGGGTCTGGAATTCTTGTTTCTCTGCGTGCGGTTGTTCATAAACTGGCGGCTACACTCACAGTTCTGAAATTTAAGTAATTCTGAAAAGTAGGATTATACGGAATTATTGCGGTATAATTAAGAAGCCAATGGAAACGAAACGTATTAAGTTCCTACGTTTCGGTACGACATCATTATTTAAAACATGCACGGTTACTATTTTATAATTAATTTCATGTAGGTACCTAGAAGTGAAAAATCGAACAAAAAAGATGGTTCAATATATCAAATGCAGTTCAGTTAATCAGTTGCGGCCGCGTATGTACCCACGCGATTACTTGTTGGAATATGACTGCGCAACTTAAAAAAAAGTTCCATGAAATCATCACTACGAAAGTTCGGAGAACAAAAACGTAATTGTTGTTTCGAGTACTCGATAAACATGATAGCTATTTGCTGATAATCTGAGTAGGTAGGTATGTAGAAGTATGCGGGTACCGTATATTGAACGGTGATACACTTCTGTCGTCAGTCGTCCTAAAAATAATTTTCAAGCAGAAGTGATGTCAGGGTCACAAAATTCGAGAATTTTGAAGAGAAATTCAAAGAGGCCTCGTTTATGGCCATATTGTTCAAAACGTCTTCATTAAAAATATTTAAAAAAAACGTCATTCTTTCACTTGAGATTGAATTTGATCAAATAGAACGATATGATTGTTCACTTGTTTAACTCTACACATGTTTCAAACCTGTTAAAAATACTGGGAATTTTATCACCGTGCAAATTTGCTATTATTCATTCCATCAACCCACCTTTCTGTGCTTCAACCTTAAATAAATCAGTGCAACTTTAAATAAAATAAATTATTTTACTTACCCTAGGGCAAAGACGATGTAGGATGTTGCTAATGGCCTAAGGGTGATTAACCGACACTACAAGTGCGGCTGGCGTCTTTTCGCCTTGCAGAGAAGTACATATACTGACTCTTTTGACTAAATGGGGTTCTTTAAAATGAATTTACGCGGCGTTCTTGAAATTAGTGTCGTTTCGTCTTGACGTCTTGTGTTGTTATCCCCCCGTTGCTATGGTTACATGTTTGGTAAATTATGACAGATAGTGGGTACATATTAAATTCCTACAAGGATGCTTTTGGTAAAGAAAATTTCATTCCGATCAGCTAATCAACTTTTCTGGACATTAACGTCGTGTTTAGAGAAAAAGCCACTTTTACTTTTTAGTCTCATGGTGGCTCACTCACACTTGTCTCCATCTATGTCATTATCTATGCCCAGATACTCCAAGAAGCAGAGGGTTGTATTGTCCGCGTACGAAGAAA